CCAGACTGCTGTCTGGGAGGCCAGTACAGGACTGATCCAGACCCCTGAACATGGATGTCAATGAGGAGGCCTCTGCACTCTAGGGGAACCCTGGTAGTGCATTAGCATTTTCCCCTGGTGTAAGAAGGAATTTTGAGAGCCCATCACGTGAAGAGATGCACTCTTGGCCTGCACACATGGGGAAGGGCCTAGGCCCGGCCTAGGATGATGTGGTGGACTTTGAGGAGCCCCTGTTGAGAGCCCTACCCTGCCTGGAGAGTGGAGGGTGGATGGGGTGGGAGGTAGGTCTGGGGTGGGGGAGGAGGGGTAGGGGTGAGGGGAGAGAGAGGGAGAAGGGATTGACATGTGAAACAAGCTTGTTCCTAATTTGAACTAATAAAAAAATTTAAAAAAAAAAAAAGAAGCTTGGCATGACACACCCATCTATAACTCCAGCACTGGAGAGGTGGAAATAGGCAGGTCTCTGGAGAACATTGCCCAGCTAAACTGATGAAAACTCCAGGTTCACGGAAAGAGGCTGTCTCAAAAATAAGGTAAAAAGTGACTCAACATCAACCTGACATCAACCTCTGGCCTTCATGTGTGTATGCACCCCTAAGAACACATGTAAAACACAAACACAAAAAAATTCAAGAAAAATAAATAAACCTAGTTTTTGAAATAGTCAGGCTAAATTTACCTAGAGGAAATTACTTCCCAACTGATGTTTTTAGATTAGGGTGTGCCCTTCTCTAAGTTACTCCATAGTATAGAGAGTAATAGCAGTGATTTTTCTGCCCATGCCTTGCCTGAAGAGACTGTCTTATAAGTATCATTTTACGCCATTTTGAATGTGAACATGGAACAATGGTGGGCATGTACTCAATACCATCTGTCTGGCACTACCCAAAGATACAGACTGGCAAATAACTTATTTCTAAAAGAAAAAATGATGACACCCTATAATTTTATCACAGTAAAGCCCAGATAAGCACATGGCCATACTAGACTCCCATCAGGAAAACCAAGCCTGACAACATACAGAACACACCAGACTGAGACAAAAGTACAACTCTGTCACCAGACCCCGTAGAGAAGAGGACACCTTAGATGGCCGCCTGTTATGTACATCAAGGGAAGAGAACCCCCAGCTCAGTCCCCAGTGTTGATGTAGCCTACTCAAATTGGTGCCTGAATGTCCATTTGTCTATCCACCCAGTCATCTGCCTGGATGGAGCCTGCTGCCCTACATCTCTGTAGCCTCCACTCTCCTGAACTTGGCTTCTGAAGCTCAGAGTGACTCTCAACTCAGCTCAGTGTTACCAGGGACACAGGAGTTCATGGCTGAAGCTGAGAAAGAAAAAGGGGGTCCATCCTCAATGACCTTCAAACCTTCCAAAGTCTAAGTAGTGACCTAACAGTAGTGCACTTACCTAGTACTCACAGGGCACACATTAATCCCAAGCACCCTAAATGGAAGAAACAAACAGAACAAACATCAGAGCAGGTGGTCCCTTGTTCCTGCCCAGCCTGCTGCCCCCTGCAGTGCCTTAATATACTTTTCTTTCTGCTAATGAAGGAGGGTGGGAAGGAGCAAATTGACAAAGGGAAACGAATTCATTTACAGTTGGGATAAAGTGAGGAGAGAAAGATATTCTCTCTGCTTTTGCTGTGGCAGTGTTACAGCTCTATAGAAAACACTGACAAAGGCCAGGAAATACCCATGCGTTTAGCTGTCAGAAGAGGGTAAGTAAAAACCTTTCCCTTCTTGCTAGCACTGCCTGCGACTTCATTCCTTCCCTTCCTCCCGCATGGGATGCCCATGGAAAATTTCGTTCTCTGTGGCCCTGGTTTCAATAGTCTGACAGATGAAGGGAGGAGGGCACAAGTGTTTCTCTTTTGAACACCTCATCCTCTGCCAGGACCATTACACCAGCATTCAGTCCTGTGAGCCTGCCTATTGACTGCATTCAAATGTATCCTGGCTCTCTCCCTTCAGTTTTAGTATCCCCATGGCATGGTCTCTGTTACTTCCTCTGGCTGGATTGCTGGAATATGATGTGTTTTGTTGTTGTTTGTTTGTTTTATTATTAAAGTAATATAGAATTCATGACTCACAGCATCTTGCCCTAAAATCCTCCCCAGCAGCCATTCAGAGGCCCTCCTGGCTCCCTTCCCCACACTCTCTTGCTAACTCTTCTCTGAACTCCTCCGAAGTTGGCTGTTTCCCACTTCCCTCCCCAGCACTGCACTGCCCTTCACTAAGGAAACACAGCTAGCTTTGCTAGGCTTCTTTGAACTCATTCATTCCAAACAGCAGAACAAAGCCAGCACAAGTCACAGCACAAAACCCGCTTCAAAAAGGAAGGGGGAGGCTGCTAACATGTGACAGATGATGCCTTTTATTTAACTGGAGACACAAATTCTCTGAGAGGAGAAGTGTCATTGTCCTCTGAAAAGAAGATGTCACATCCCAAGCTGGAAACCCCCCTCTCCCCTTCCCATGCCCAGTACCTCCCCCAGCCCTTCTCTCCTTTTGATTGATCCATGTTCCTCTCTGGACAGGGATAGGGGTGAATCCACCAGACTTTCTTCTGGAACAATGACTTTGGAACTGTTTCAGAAATACATTTTATGTTACAGCCAAGTTCATCAGGTGCATACACTCCCATTCAACTGAAATGAAATTTTAACAAAATGGGACTTCACCCTCACTATCAATCATTTTTCTGTCCTGCATGTATCTTTGAAAAATGGCACTTGGCATCTTTTAATGTAACATACGTACAGATACAGTTAGAAGAGGTCCAGAACTTTCTGGAACATGCCTGGAGAAGAGACTGGGGTTCAGTTGTAAGGAGATTGTGCTGCTGCTGGGTGAGAGGCACTTGAAAGGAGATTTTTGTATTCTCTCCAATATTTTATATTTGGTGTTTTCTGTAATAAATAAAAATTCAAGGGAGCAAAACTGTTGGTTATGCCTCCACTAAAACAGCTTCATAACCACTAACAGCCCCAGAAGTGAAGGTTGTACACTACCTTCTGGAAAATGTGGGAGTTCCTAACTATGCCTAATGGATGTTAACTTTGTTAAGAATGCATGATAGTCTGCAAATAGTGAAAGTTTGACTCCTTCCTTTCTGATTTGTATCCCCATGATCTCCTTTTCTTGTCTTATTGCTCTAGCTAGAACTTCAAGGACAATATTGAAGAGGTATGGAGAGAGTGGACAGCCTTGTCTTGTCCATGATTTTAGAATAATTGCATTGAGATTCTCTCCATTTAATTTGATGTTGGCTGTCAGCTTGCTGTATATTGCTTTTATTATGTTAAGATATATTCCTGTTATCCCTGATCTCTCCCATGAAGGGGTGTTAGATTTTGTCACAGGCTTTTTTCAGCATTTAGTGAGATGATCATGTTTTTTTTTTCCCTCAGTCTGTTTATATGGTGGATTACATTGATGGATTTTCATATATTGAACCATCCTAGCATCCCTGGGATAAAGCCTACTTGATCATGATGGATGATTTCTCTGATGTGTTCTTGGATTCGATTTGCCAGTATTTTATTGAGAATTTTTGCATCAATGTTCATGAGGGATATTGGTCTGTAGTACTTTTTCTTAGTTGTGTCTTTGTGTGGCTTGGGTGGTCTACATGAGTGACCAAAAAAACTCTTCCAGGGAACTCCTATAGCTAATAAACACCTTCAGCAAAATGTCAGGATACAAGATTAACTCAAAAAAATCTGTAGCCCTACTATATACAGATGATATATTGGTGGAGAAAGAAATCAGAGAAACATCACCCTTTACAATAGCCTCAAACAACATAAAATACTTTGGGGTAACGCTAACCAAAAAAAGTGAAAGACCTGTATGGTAAGAATTTTGAGTCTCTAAAGAAAGAAATTAAAGAAGATACTAGAAAATGGAAGGATCTCCCATGTCCTTGGATAGGTCAGATCAACACAATAAAAATGGCAATCTTGCCAAAAGCAATCTACAGATTCAATGTAATCCCCATCAAAATCCCAACACAATTCTTCGCAGACCTTGAAAGAACAATTCTCAACTTTATATGGAAAACCAAAAGACCCAGGATAGCCAAAACAACACTGTACAATAAAGGAACTTCCGGAGGCATCACTATCCCTGACTTCAAGCTCTATTACAGAGCTATAGTCCTGAAAACAGCTTGGTATTGGCACAAAAATAGATAAATAGACAAATTAAATCAATTGAAAATCCTGATATTAACCCATAAACCTACGAACACCTGATTTTTGACAAAGAATCTAAAATTACACAATGGAAAAAAGAAAGCATCTTCAACAAATGGTTCTGGCATAACTGGATGCTGGAATGTAGAAGGTTGCAGATAGATTCTTATCTGTCACTATGCACAAAACTTAAGTCCAAATGGATCAAAGACCTCAACATGAATCCAGCCACACTGAACCTCTTAGAAGAGAAAGTGGGAGGTACCCTTGAATGAATTGGTATAGGATACTGCTTCCTGAACATCACACCAGTAGCACAGATATTGAGATTGACAACTAGTAAATGGGACCTCCTGAAACTGAGAAGCTTTTGTAAGGCAATGGACACAGTCAGCAAGACAAAACGACAACCCACAGAATGGGAAAAGAGCTTCACCAACCCCACATCTGACAGAGGGCTGATTTCCAAAATATACAATGAACTTAAGAAGCTAGTCTCCAAAACACCAAACAATCCAATTAAAAAGTGGAGTGCAGAACTAAATAGAGATTTCTCAACAGAAAATGGCTTAAAGACACTTTAAAAAGTGCTCAACATCCTTAGCCATCAAATCAAAACAACTCTGAGATACCATCTTACACCAGCCAGAATGGCTAAAATCAAAAACACCAATGACAGTCTATGCTAGAGAGGATGTGAAGAACATTCCTCCATTGCTGGTGGGAGTGCAAACTTGTACAGCCACTTAGGAAATCAGTATGGTGGTTTCTCGGGAAAATGGGAATTAGTCTACCTAAAGATCCAGCAAATCATCTCTTGGGCATATACACCCAAAGGATACACATTCATACAACAAGGACATCTGTTCAACTATGTTCATAGCAGGACTATTTGTAATAGCCAGAACCTGGAAGCAACCTAGATGCCCTTCAACTGAAGAATAGATAGAGAAAATATGGTACATTTACACAATGGAGTACTACTCAGCAGAAAAAAGCAATGGAATCTTGAAATTTGTAGGCAAATGGATGGAACAAGAAGAAACCATCTTGAGTGAGGTAACTCAGTCACAAAAAGACAAACCTGGTATGTACTCACTCATATATGGATTTTAGACATACAGCAAAGGATTACCAGACTACAATCCACATCACCAGAGGAACTAGGAAGCAAGGAGGACCCCAAGAGAAGAATGCATGGTCCCCAGGAGAAGGGGAAGGAGAAAGGATCTCCTGATCTAATTGGGAGCATGGGGGTAGGGGAGAGGGAGCTTGGAGAAAGACAGGGGGAGAAGAGGAGGAGAGGAGGAAATGGGGGAGCAGAAAGGTTGAATCAGGGGAAGAATAGAGGAGATCAGGATGAAAGATACAATAATAGAGGGAGCCATTATAGGTCGGAGGAGAGATCTGGCACTAGGGACATTTCCAGAGATCTAAGCTGGCAATCTAAGCAATAGTGGAGAGGCTACCCTAAATGCCCTTCCCCTATAACGAGACTGATGACTATCTTATATGCCATCCTAGAGCCTTCATCCAGTGGCTGATGGAAGCAGAGACAGACACCCACAGCTAAATATTGTGAACTGAACTCTGGAACCCAGTTGCAAAGAGAGAGGAGTGATAAGCAAAGAGGTCAAGACTGGGCTGGTGAAACCCACAGAAACAGCTGACCTGAACAAGGGGGAGTACATGGACCCCAGACTGATAGATGGAAGGCCAGCATGGGACTGATCCAGATCCCTGAACATGGATGTCAGTGAGGAAGCCTGGGCACTCTACGGGGCCTCTGGTAGTGGATCAGTATTTATTCCTGGAGTACAAAGGGACTTTGGGATCCCATGCCATGTGAAGGGATGCTCTCTCAGCCTGGACACATGCTGGATGGCCTAGGCCCTGCCCAGGATGATATGACAGACTTTGGGGATTTCCCCATGGAGGGCCTTGACATCCCTGGGGAGCAGAGAGGGAATGGGGTGGAGGGATGTTAGGAGTGGAGTATGAGGGGAGGGAAAGGAAGCAGGGATTGACATGTGATGCAGGCATGTTTCTAATTTGAACTAAAAAAAAAGTTTAAAAACTAAAAATAAATAAATGGGACCTGCTGTAACTGAGAAGCTTCTGTAAGGCAAAGAACACAGTCAACAAGACAAAATGTCAGCCCACAGAATGGGAAAAGATCTTCACCAACCCCACATCTGACAGAGGGCTGATTTCCAAAATATACAATGAACTCAAGAAGCTAGCCAC